GACACTACGAGAGGGTGTTGGAACTTGCTGCAGCCTCTCCAAGTGTTGGCCTGGTACTGCAGTACCTCCAGACTTGGTTCTCATTCCCTCCTGGGGGTACAACTGCCTGTTTTGGTTGGGTTTTTGGGGGGCTTTTTTGTTTTTTTAAGGGCTACACACAACAAAAAAAAAGGTCCCTATGAGCATGGAAAGCTTGATCACTGCCTTAAAGCAGAGAAGGAGATTGACAGAGCGTTGGGGTGTAAGGAGTGGAGGAAGGGAGACCCAAAGTTCAAACCAGTGCCAGTAGTTGAATTAGGTGGAAAAAGATTTGAAGAGTGGAAATGAAGGTCTGGAGACAGATGGAAAGTGGACAAAGGTGGGGAAGCAGGCACAAAAGAATGTGATGGTGGGAGCACCGGCAGTAGTGATGGCAGAAAAGGAGGCAACCAGAGTCACAGTGCTTCAGGGAAGACAGGAGCAGAGGAGAGCTGGTGACAGAGTGGGAGCAGCAGGAGAAGGTACATCAAGAGAGATAGAGGACAGTGGGAATATGGCAGAATGCCTGCCTTTTGGGAATGGCGCGGCAGGAAGACAAGGAAAACATGACTAGAGATTGCAGGAAGGATTGGAGACTGAGAAGAAAGGCGGTATTAGCTAGTGACAGAATGTAGAAGGAATCGGCATTAGACGGATGCCTTTTTGGAAAAGCTACTATCTGAGATACTAGAGGTGCAGCTGGAGCACCTGACCAGCTTAATTGCTTTTCCAAAGAAAGTCTTGGCAAATCATGCACTGGATTGGAAATGGGTATGAAATTTTTTAAAATAAATGTGCAGAGGAATGGGGGAGGGAGGAATTAAGAGAGATAAGATTTATGGCACAAGAAAAAGGGAGCGAGTGATTATAGGATGAATTTATACAGATTTATTTGTGGAAGAAGACATAAAAAGGTGGTTGGAATTGCATGTTCAAAGAGTAATGTGTGTGGAGGGACAAATCTGGTATTTGGATAGGGTTGTGGAGGGCACGAGTAGTGTTACAAGCAAACGAGTGGAGCTCATGTGGAGTGAAACACCTCCCACCTGTAATCCAGCTGGGGGCATGCTGATGTTTTATAATATGCCACGGGCAAGCTAAACAGTTCAGCAGATGTGACAAGGAAGGGCTCCTGTCTGCACACTGCCCTCACATAGTGTACTTCAGGTGTGAGGGGAAGGGGCACAGAGCAGCAGAGTACCAGGAACCCCTAAAATGTGTTACCTGTGGGGGGGAGAGACACTTGTACCACAGGTGTCCTACAGTCTTTGCAAACAAGGTTGGACCCACTGAGGAGCAGCCAGAATTGGAAGGGGACAGTGAGGGAGAAGAGGGGGATAGACAGAAATGTTTGAAGAGACCTTGCAGGAGTGAGAAAAACAGAAAGGAGGAAACAGAGTTAGAGCCTGTCACGTAGTCATAGAAAGAAATTAAGGCAGTCATGTGTGACCTGCTCTTCATGAATCCATGCCAGTGGTGGTTCCTGATCACCTTGTTCTCCTCCAGGTGCTTAGAAATAGATTCCTTGATGACCTGCTCCATGATCTTTCCTGGTATCAAGGTCAGACTGATTGGTCTTTAATTCCCCAGGTTCTCCTTCTTCCCTTTACCGACTTTTCAATATTTAAGACTTCACCCAACATTCATGAGTTCTCCACAGTGATAGCCAATGGTTCTGTGATTATCTCAGCCAATTCCACTATTCTAGGATGCATCATATTTGGCACTGCTGACTTCATAAAAACATCCAGCTTCTCTAAATAACCCCTAAACTGTTCTTCCACTGCTCTAGGAACTGCTCAAAGAAGTTACTGCAAACAAGCATTTAAAAATAATTAAAGATGATTCAGTTGAAATACCATCTGATCTAATATGTAAAAATGTCATCTTCAAATTGCAACATTTAAACAGGCATGCTTTTTATTTTAAAAATTAGAATTTTAACTATAGCTTTGCCCCACTATCTTAAGAGACTTGATTCTTTCCTTCTATGCCCAAGGGTGACTTGTGGATTCTTTTTTAAAAGAAAATCTATAAAGATTGGTTATTTATGGTTCTTAAAGATGATCCATGTCACTGGGACAAGTACCATATTTACTTGAATATGAGACGGGTTTTGAGCAGTGAGTGTCCTTGATTAATTTTTGATGCCGTCTCCCACATTCTCATTGGTAAGCAAAGGAAATATGAACTAGATGAAAGTAATGCAAAGGTAAATGTTAAGATTACATTATGTAAAAATACATAAACAATGGTCTGCTTTATATAATATTCACTTTGTGTATAATTGACTACCCTTTGGGTGTAGCTGTAACTTTCAAGAAGTTAAATCTTTGGACATTCAGGTGGTTCATATTCAGATGCAATTAAATAAGATACATTAAACTCATTCAGATGACTTTCTCAGTGTTGCATTTATATCAGATAGAAGAATATTTCTTCTAGTTCTAAAATACCTAAAATAAATTCAGATGCAGATATATAGGAAATGGAGCAGAAACTTTAGAAACAAGTAGTAAAAATTTAGCTGAAGATATCAACAGTTTTTATAGCAATCTTGAGAAATTTAATTTTTACTTGGCTCAGAAAAAATATTAATTCTTCGGTTCAGAAACAAAATATTCCTTTCCTTTTTCTTTTCAAATCTTTCTCATGAATCTCCATTTTATTATAGGTAAGTTGTAAGAAGAATAAATAATTATCGCTATCTAAAGAAGCTCAATTACATAAACTGAAATTACAAAAACAAAGTTCAGTTGCAGAAATATCCGTGAATAATTGATGTATTTTTGCAAGTTAAATTGTTCAAAAGAACGCAGTTACGTGTTTAAGTTTGAACTTTTTGCATATAACTTTACTGATTTCCTTTTAGTGTTGTATCTCTTAGTGGTAATCATACTCTGACTTTGGTTTAATTTCTTTTTAGAATGTACAGCAGGCCCTTTTGGGTACTTTAGGAGCCCCCGCACATTCATTACAGGAAGACATTCCAGTGGACACTTCCAGTAGAATTTCCAGGGTCCCGTCCTTGGTTCTGGCTGGGTAGACCGTTGGACTGTTCTAATTGGTACATTTTTCTCAAGTAACACTTTTTTCCTCTTTCTTTTTGTAGACTGTGCCAAGAGGCAAAACCTTACTTCTCCAAGCAAAGGTAAAACCAAAACATCCTATCCCTTCTTTCCCATCAGCAGTGGGAATTTGAAAGCTAGCTTCTGATGCAGTTCTCAGTGTTGGTGTCCATCACCTGTACTCTTCAGTTTAATGTATTCAATGTTTGCTCATTGCATACAGTTTGGGATTTTCTAGGGCTTTTGGACTTTCTAATAACTTCACATGTTGTGACTAGACACTGATTGGGTCCCTGTTCACAATTGGAAAGTAAAGAAAAGGTTTTTTTGCATGTTCCTGAATTTGCAAGCTGTACTGAGGACTTCCTTTACTTAACTGTGTAGATTAATTTTTATTGTAACCAATTTTCAAGCCCAGAGACCTCTATTCCCTCTCCCTTTCTAACTACTTTGTAGCTAATTCTCCTCTTAAGTATCTTGTGCTAAGTTGCCTCTCAACCTAAGGTGGAGTAAGCTAATAGTTCTCTGTATTTTTGTATTTCAGGAAGAATTCACTGGATATGATTTTGAGAACAGATTGCATGTCCGCATACATGCAGCCTTAGCTTCTCTGAGGGAAGTGGTTCCACAGTGACAATAGGAAGTCTTGTGTTATCCATTCCTATGGTTTCTGCACTTTAAGATGAAGCAGGAGATAAAGATGTTGGGAAGACCAGCTTTTCTTCTGAAAACCACCTGTGCCAGAGTTCCTAAAACATTCAGAGTTTCTGACTAAATAAAATATTATAATACTGATAATTAAACACAAAATAAGTCAGTCAAAGAGGATTAAGTGACCTTGTGTTAACTCTCAGTTTTTGTTTAAACCAAGCTACAAATAATTAGGATGTGACTGTGCAGATGAGCTTACAACAAGCATCATCTGATTTATTGCAACAATATTAGTTCACCTCTGGCAGGTATCATATAGCCCTTCAAATTTTTCTAAAGTGCCCTTTCTAGGGAGAACAACCTATTTGATTAAAATAATAACACTGTATAAAGAATCGGTGTAAGTTTTAAGTTTTGAGAATAAGAGAGCACTTTTTCTCTAAAAGCCAACAAGAAAGGGGGGACACAAAAGAAGTAAGATTGTCAGCCACCATGCTTGTTAAATCCGCATTGGCTTATTTCAATTACTTGATGATTCATAAAGTTTAAATTTTAGAATGCATCTATCCTGTTTTATTTTTAAATTATGAAAATATTAAGGATATCTATTATTAGTACACTTCTAATTATTTATTTTGTTTGACATTCAGTTACTAAGTCATTTATTTTCTTAATATTCTGAATAGTTTTTGCCTGTTAGATATTACAAAGAATTTAACAAATTGTTTTTTCCACTCAGGTTCCTAAATCTTTTGGTATAAGAAAATAACCTTTAAACATAATTTTAAAGCCCCTTATTTAAATATTTATACTAAATGGTATATTTTCCTTTACTTCCATATATGGTACACCAAACTTGTGGTATTAAAGTATTTAAATACCTCAGTGAATTTAAGAATCTGTCATGATCATATCACTTTTAAAACGTGATCAAATGTACAGTAGCACTATAGTTCTGTTTACCTGTAAGACCACAATATTAGTTCTTTTGTATATTCTCAGTGTAAAATTTAGTTTTTTATTTTAAAATTACTTAGTAATAGAAGTCTGGCCAGAATTTTAGTGAATTTTCTTATTTTGCATAGCTGATGAGACTGAAAGCGGTTATCATAGACTGCTGACAGATGTGGGAGGAGAAAAAAATGCCCTTTACCTAAAGAAAATGTGTTTGTTTGACCTGACTCTGCAGGATCTATATAGATTGGGTGCTTCAGTGGGTTTTTTTGGCATTTTTATCTAATAACTGATTGTCAGCTGTTAGATAAAAGTGCCAAAAAAGCCCCACTAAAGCACCCAACCTGTGCAGATGTTGGGCAAGCCAGGTCCAACTAATGCGATGCCTCTTCTGCACATGTGCATGGGAGCATGCAGAGTTTAACGTAAAACAGTTTTGGGGGGGTGGTTTAATGTCTGTAAGCGGCAATAAAGGTTTATATTTTCTCTGGTCAGGCAGTCTTAAATATTTCCTAAAGTCAGACTGAAATTTTTGTTTCTTTACAGAATGTCAACTTTTTTTACCTTGCTTGCATCTAATGGGTTTGCATCTCAAGGAAGATTGGTGTGAAGAGGAAAAGTAGTGCTCTTTATTCAGTAGACAGGGAGAAAAGGTTAGGATAACCTTTGTTTTTCAATTAGACAAAGAATTCTTAAAGTTAGTCTTAGGAGCAATCATATGGCCCACAATTATTGCAGTCCATGAGGGAGAGAAAGACTGAGCCTTAAATTGTAATGCAGCTTCACTGCTTGTAGTCTAGTCACACTACATGTAGTCAACATGTTTCTCCTTAGAAAGGATTTGGTAACATTGAGTCATAAAATTCTGGCTTTGAGTGTTCAGCCCTTTACTTGAATTGGTCAATTCAGACAAGTATTGGATAGAAATATTATTATATTGTATATATGAAGATAATGTAGAACTTGATTGTGATTTAAGTGGGCATAACATACTTGAATTATTTTAATTTTTGTTCTATATGCTTTTATTATTTTTTAATCAAGGGTATGGTCCACTCGGGGTAAGTAGCAGATGAGCAACTATACATTATTATTAGAATTCCTTTAATATGCACTGTATAAGCAGGATACAAGGACAGCAGACTGTTTAGGACACCCAGCACCTGCATGCAAAGGTAGTGGGTTGTTTAGGGTCCAGATACCCCAGATGAATAGCAGTGTATACGTGAAAGTAAATTTACCAAATGGCTTATTCTTTTCATCAGGCCCGTTGCAGTGGTGTAGAAACAGGCTTGTGTCACTATGTATACGTACAACATTTCAGCTCTGTGCAAATTTTAGTTTTCTTTGGGTCCAGAGAACTGTCACTGAAATGAAACTGTCTGTTTCTGTATTTTTCCCCTCATAGGAGAATCTCCTAGTTTGTAAATGTCAAAGTTATTTTTATATTAGATTGTGCCTGTGATGAGAACAATCTCAATTGTATTTTACGTAATCTAAATACGTTTTTATACTTTAGAGATCGGAGGCATGGTCTAATAGCAATAATGGAATATGCATCTTGCCAGTTAATATATTTTAAGATTTTATCTTTACTGGATCGGGTATTTTTTTGTTGACGTTGATGCGATTTTTATCTCAATAATAACTCATTTCAAATAAACAACTAGAATTTTTAGAAGTCACCAAAAACTGTATTATTTATTGTGGTGTACTGTAAATGTTGTCAATTTACAGAACTTACACTTTTATATTTCTGCCGAGTAAAGTTAAAAGAAAACATGGACCTGATTTTTCCCTCCCTCTTGCTATTTATATTTGCCCATCAGTTGATGGCATCCTGAAGAAGATGCCATGTATTGAAAATCTTCCTGTATCTTTAAACAAAGCTATCTGTGTAACAGAGTTCTGTGGTCAGCAGTTATGTCAACTTTTGTTCTTCCGTCATGGTTATAGACTGGTTTAGAAAGTGGTGGGTTACACTTGTCATGTTGAGGTCAATCATGGAATGAACAAGACAATCTGGCATGTATTCTAAAGATCTTGATTTTGTTTCCAAAAATCTGTACTCGCTGTAGTCCTATGTTTTCAAAAAAATGTTTCCAGTTTTCTCTCAAGCAATCACATGAATTTCTTTGCTGACTTTCAGTTCTTGTTTCATATTCTATCCATGTTTCATTCTTAAATAAAAACCCCAAACCTTGCATTGAATTGACTATCAATTTACAAACAATCTAATCTAGTCTCAAACAGTGTATCGAGCCCTCTAATCCAAAATTGCTCTGCAATTGTTCCAGTTTCCATATGGGGGAAGCATTGCATTGTAGAGGCATACAATATATGAATCATGTTTTAATGGAGGAATTTTGGGGGTGGGATTTGTGTTCAAGAAAGCCACACTCATCTGTGTTGCTAGTCAAGATCACAAACCCTCTCTGTGGTAACTGGCAATTGTTTACATGGAAAAATATTAGAAAAGTGTGTAACAGATATTGTTTTTCAATGCATTTTATCAGCTGGAAATAAGCAGCAGCCAGTACAGTGTGATCAATCGGCTATCCTGGGATCACCTGATGCCCCAGGAGCTATGATTTAGAAACTTTAGTGCTAGACTGCACTAATCTTTAACAGGAAGGAGAAAGGTATCATTGCCTCTAATCCACCATACTGCAGAGATTGTACTGTGAAAACTATTGATAAATATTTCAGTGATTTTTAAATTAAACACCTGATTTTAAAGGCAGAATGGAATTTTTCTTTCCCAGAGTTAGCTCAGGTACTGTACCTGGAAGAGGATTAATGAAGGTTATTTTTCCCTTATGTCTGGTTAATCAAGGATAGCAATGTAGAAGAAATTAAAGGATCTTTTGCTGTATGGGAGTCACTGAGGTACCGAAAGTTAAAGCCTATCTGCTCCAGAAGAATTGGGAATACATATATAGTTATATGGTGTGGATATAGCTCAGAACCACAAAGCTTCCTGCTTTAGTCAGGATTGAAATCACTGAAAAAATCCAGTTATACAGACTCTTTTACTCACAGATTGAGATAAGCTGGCAAGCTGGATCAGGCCTTGCTGCGCCATGCGGCACTACCATGCCAGAATGGGCCCCGCTGAATGGCTCCAGAGTTAATGTGTCATATTCCCCAATGTTCCAGATCTCTTAAATGTTGACTTCTAAGTACTATAATCTTTTTTAAAAATTCTTCAGTACAATATAACCACATTCTCACATATGCAACAATAGTGAATAGTTATTGCTGGAACTGGATGTCTTGCATTATCTGTAATTAGGAACTACTTTCAAAATTTTCTCATTTCATTTGTTACTACAGATGCATCTTGCCAGCCTGAAGAAGCCAAGTAAAGGTCTTCAGTTCTCAAAACAGCACCTGCCCACAAAGGTTGTAGTGATAAGGGCAGTTTAAAGAGTCTAATACAGAGTTTCTCTTAGGGGTTGGCCATGATCACTAGCTTATAAACTTACATCTGCAAGTAAGCGACCCTGATTTAGATGGACATCCAGACCACTACGGTTTATATAAAACTAGAAGGGAGAAAATCCTGTATTCTGTGATAGATGTGTGTGGGAGATGAGTGTTCCATGAAACATTTTTAATGGCTAGGAACATGGTAGTTGCAGACAACTGAGCAGGTGGGTGGTGGATTCGTGGGCTGGTCCCTGAATCAAGAAGTGAAAAGGTAGTGAAAGAACACCTTAGGAGTTGGCAACTAGAGAGAGGTCACTGAACTACTAAAAACTGCTAAAGTTCATATACAGCTTAATAGCAATACTTTGTATTGGGAAAAATGTATTTTCCTTTTGCTGCACTCAGGCTTTGTACTCACTCTTACTAATGCCATTTATAGCAAAGGTCCTGATCAAGCCTCAGAGTGGGAAGATCTTAGTTACCTACTAGCAAAGACAAATGTGGTTCTTAATCCTGTTAGGGATGGTAGTGAGCTTTAACCTATTAGCTATGTCTGAACACAGATTCCAGCTTTGGATACTCCTCCCTGTTTGCATGGCTTCTGAGAGTAAAAAAACTGAATCTGTGGTGTTTCTGAAAAAGGGATATACTATCTTTAAAGAAGTCTACCAAAGATCTAGTGTAAGTAGAAGCAAGACAAAGTGCCTTGTGTTGGTTGTCTTGCATGACTTGCACGAAACCTCTTTGTTTATTTGCTAGAGTCTTTCCTATAGACAATTTAGGACATGTCGATACTGCCTCTGTGGTGAGCCTGGGAGCACTGTTGAGAAAAACACTGTATCCACTTGCTCCTACTCAGTTCATGCCCAAATTCAGAAATTAGCCAGTTTGTCTGATTTATCATAGCCTTGAGCAAGCACTTGGCTGTTCTCAGCATGTCTGTCTTGGGACACTTCTTGGGGGATGGTCAGGGCTGTGGTAAATGGATAACGTTGCCTAATTTCTGAGCTTTGTCTTGTCTGCTTGCTCCCACTTAGGGACAGGACATGCTTTCTGATGGCTCTCCTGGACTTGCTGTGGTGACTGTTTGTAAACATGTCTTGATGTTGTCTTAAATAAGCTGATATCTAAATGTTTCTGCTGTTACTTTTGAATTACTTAATCCTATGGGTTCAAGTTTCTTTCAGATAAAGATAGGTTTTTCCGGAGGTCAGAAGTTCACCTTGTGGAATAAGTGTATTTTGGACCCAAGTGTCTCATCCAGTTTGCACTTAATTAACTTCCAAAGTAAAGGTAGTACAAAAAGTTTTTGGACACTTTCTGAGGTGGTGTTGGGAGTCTCACTTTGAATGTTATTCAGGCAACTTTTTCCCACTGGGCATGTGCTCAACCTGGCAAATGCACTTCATCTCAAGCATAACGTGAACAGGTCTTTACTTGGCATTATAGAAGCCTGTTTCTAAACCCAGCAAGCCTTTTGTTTCAGCTGATACTAATGGATTTGCTGTTTCTGATATCCATGTTTAAATTGTCTGTTTGCAGTGTTCGTTATTTGAAAGCCACGTAAACGTGTGCTGCAAGAGGTAAATCTACTACCTCAGGTAACTTCTGATCTGTGTTCATACAGAACACTTACAAGCCATAACAGTCTTTTCTGCACGCATATCTTCACTAAATCTTCTACTTAGTTTTGGCCTCTAAATTGAAATCCAAATAAAGACTAGGTAGAGAAACCTAGCCATCCTGTCCCCAGAATTTTCTTTATAGTATTATCAATTTTGGTAGTCCTCAAATGTATTTTGGGTGTAAATCTTATTCTGCTTATTCTAACATGTCAGTCATGGTTTGCTCACACTTTTTTTTATTTTCTCATTGCTGGTTTCAGTAGTTAAATGCTTTTTTTTGAGAGACAGTTGAGAATTTAAAATATTTCATTATATTACTATAATAAGTATTTTTAAAACATAAATGTGAAGCATGATTGCAGGCCAGATGCACTTTATATTTGCCCATGACAAAAATATAATTGTGCTATGTACTGTTTCTATTTTGACATGGTGATTTTTTTCAAATTTAATCTAGGCATTTAGTCCTCAAGGGCTTCTTGCTTTTAAAAGGACTACTTAATTACCTGTAATTGTTTTTCTCCGGAGAGATCCTTCTCAGTGGGCCACCAGGCAAGTACCCTCAAACACACCACTTTGAAGGTTCTGAATTTTGA